CGCACAGGAATAATGAAGCAAGGAGTAGCTTTAGTAAAGCAGGCATTGCAGCCATAGAGTTCCAATAAGTGCTTTAAAAATATTTTGGAAAAGAAAACTGTCAGATTATTACTTAGGCCAAACCAGCACTTCCATAGTTTTGAACGAGTGAATGATACGCTACGTTCACATTACCAGGTTGAAGTGACACAAATCTGATTTTCTGCCCTAATGTGACTCAGATCTGATGTTTTCAGAGCTGTGTGGACACAAATCTGATCATTTCAAATCCGACCTGAGCCACTTTCATATGTGGTCCTAGATCGGATACGTATCAGATTCGTGGCCATGTGACCTTAATGTGACGCTCAGATCGGAATTCGTTTGCTATTTTTCCACTGCACCATCATTCAGCGTTGCCATGGCAGCAGCGCCGAACAGAAGTTAAAGCCTGTAAACGGTGGAAAAGCAGCTCATCTCACCTTTTTCTCCTTCGTCTCGCTCTAATAATGAAGCTGAGAGCTGATCAGAGTTAATTATCTTCTCAGCGAAGCTCGTTCTGCTCGTTAGTTTGTGCTGATGATGAACGTGATTCATTCACGTGACGTTACTGAGTAGGATGAGCTCATGAGGGTCATTTCAGGACGCCGGTTCGTCACATTAATGAGATTTGAATCATTTATCTAAACGAGTGTGAACCATCGTGTCAGAGAGATCGGATTTGAGCAACGAGGCTTGTAATGTGAACGGAGGCACAGTGTTGTAAATTGAATAGGTACATTTGGCCCTGAGTGTTAAAAAACACAGTGTTGTGATACCTTTACACATCTTGGTACATTGAAACACTGTTTTTTGTTTCATTTTATAATTTACAACGATGCCAGTCAGGGGTTCCCACTTGGAGAGAACTGAGAAAAGGGAACTTTCACATTCATGCATCATATATGAGCAAGCAACCAAAACACCAACCCGCCGACAAAAACATCTCCCTGCACCTACAAAACTGGAGTCAAAGCATGTGAATAGTTCATTCAAAACCTGGAGAGTTTTGACGATATGTTGAGACGGACCCCTGCAGCTGGTGGTCTTAACCTTTAAGTCAGTAAAGTGCTCTTAATGAAAACATCACAATAGGAATGCTTTTTTTCATAACCTTCTCTGCTGGAGGAAAATGACGGGAGTGCTCAAGTCGTGCTTGAGTATATTAGTTTCTGACACCAGAGTGAAACATCAGACTGACATACTTTCCCCTCAAAACTACAGAATATCTTAAAGGCAATGTATGGTTTCAGTAAATATGAACTGCTTCAATGTAATCCAAGTAAAAGTAATAATAAAAATCTCAATGCAGTGACAAACAAATAAATTATTTAGAGAAATGAGAGTGCATAATTTATATGATAATACCAAAACAGAGAAAACCCTTTTAGGATAACTGTTAATATTAACAGTACAGAGCTCGAGCATTCAGTCTCGAACATTCAGCCCAGCTAAAACAAAGTAAAATAAAAAAATATCACATATAGCAGCTCATATTTCAAATCCTCTCTCAACAAATCTAACAGCTCACACTTTATTGTTATAAGAATTGTTTGAGCTGCAGGACATTCATATTGGACTTTTGAGGTTGTTTATTGAGAGGATGTCCTTTCAGTGTTTTGTACCAGTTACGTCTCTCCCCATCACACAATACTACCAAGCCGGGTCAGGCTAGCATATGTTAGTCACATGAAGCCAGTCATTTCATCTTTTCAAACATTAGACAGCTTAACCCTTGTGTGGTGTTGATGTGTGTGTTACTCGGTGGTCTGGTGGAGCCACCACATTATTGTGTATTTAAAGCAATACAGCCATAACAATTAACGTAAAAATACTAGATGTTTTTTTGGTTTTTTTTATTTTTTTACCCGATTTTCTCCTCAATTTAGTCGTCTCCAATTCACCCGCTAGTTAGGACTCCCCCAATCACACGATGCTATCAACGCTAGGAGGGTGAAGGCTAACACAGGCTTCCTCCGAGACCTGTGAAGCCAACCACCGCTTCTTTTCGAACTGCCGCTCACGCAACGTCACTGGACAGCCGAACGCGCTCGGAGGAAAGCGCCAACCGCCAGATCTGTTACGTCAGCTAACAGACGCCTGCGCTGACTAGCATCGCGCTGAGTGATGGGGGGAGAAGGAGGGCCATCCCACTCACCCAGAGAGAGCGAGGCCAATTGTGCTCTCTCGGACTCCCGGCTACGGACGGCTGTAGCATCACCAGGGATCGAACTCGCGATCTCCTGATGAGGGGCAACGCTTAGGCGGTTGCGCCACTCGGGAGCAATACTAGATGTTTAAAATATCACAAGTGGTCAGCGTAGGGTTCTCCTTTAGCAGCTGTAGCCAGTCAGCAGCCTGGCCATGTTGTCCACCTTCACACACACACACACACACACACACACTAACAGCAGGCCATGTAGGAGGAGAACAGAGTGAAGGACACAGCACCTCCACACTTTTACTCCCCTGCAGGTTCACCCAACACCACATGTGTAATATAAATGTGTGGGGGGTGAACAGAGTGAAGACACTGAAAATGGGTTATTTTAGATGTTCTTCACTGAAAATGATCAAAGGCCAAGAATCTGAAGTTGAAATAATAATAAAACAGATATTTTTTTCTTTTGGTAAACATTTTAAATGGGTCCTACAGACCCCAACACCACACAAGGGTTAACACACTTGGAAGAGAAAATTACTGAAAATTACAAATCTGTTGCCTCAGCTAAGAGGCCCTGTGCTGGCTGGCACTGGGAGAGGGTGGGCCATCCTACCCACCCAGAGAGAGTGAGGATAATTATGCTGCCTCGAAGTTGGATGGCTGTGGCATTCCCAGTAGGGCTGAACGGTTTTGGCAAAACATCTAACTGTGATGTTTCTGACCAACATCGCGATGATGAGTTTAATTGCGAATGTTTATAATGGAGGTTTAAATTGAGGTTATGGGCCTTTTTTTTGGCTAAGAAGACCCGCGTCTACTTTTTCTGGCCTGAGACTTGAACTGCTAACACAGTGAGCCAGCCTGCCAGTTATTTGTGGTTGTGACGTCAGAGCAGTTCACAAGCTCCACGTTATTACATGAAATTTCCCTACTTAAAACCTGCGTATCAACGTTGTTACTAGATTGTAAGACTATAATAAAAATTTAGGTTCTTTTTGAGGATTTCAGTATAAAACAATGAATCTTTCAGCCCTAATCCCCAGAGAATGTACTTGCAATCTCCCAAAGACAGAGCCAGTGTTTACTCTGAGCCAGCCAATCTTTTTTTGTTAACGAGTTAGTTCTACATTAACAGAGTAACGTTTGAAATGTGTTTATCCAGCGTGTGTGAAGGTAAATCAAATCTGTGTGAAAGTTTCAGCACAAGCGTGTTTTAGTTGTATGACATTTCTTCCTCTCTTTCTCTTTAAGCTTCTTTTTTCCCGCATTTTTCTCTTTCTTTATCTCTCTCACTTATTGAGGATCATCAGGACAACCAAGACAGAAGACCTAAAAAATAAATTACCCAACACACTCGACCACATCGTCTCTCTGACGTCTAATTGCGTCCAAAACTCCATGATGCTTTTACTGTCATGCATATTATCATTCAATTAACTTGAGCACTCTTTACTCATGTATTTTAAAGAAGTAAATCTGGAGCGTAAAGGGCCTCCTCCAGTTTACAGAGCTTTAAACGGCATCCTATTTCAGTAGTGATATCATTACTGTTTGTTACACTATCTGTGCCATCAGTTTACTCTAAGATATGTATCGTCTTTGAGTAAAGTCACAATACCCTCATAATTCATATAAAAACAGACCGTTTCCCATTCTTTTCTGGATTTATTTTCATCTGTTATCACTGAATGTGTTTCCTGTAGGCACGCTGTTCTCCTTATCTTTCAGCCGAGTGAAAACTTCCTGCCTTTTGTTCTGTTCTTTCCTTTTGATATTCATCTCTTTGAGGTTCTATCTGTGTCACTCCTGTCTTGGAGATTGCAGCTGTGTATACAGACGTCTTCCTTATGTAAGATCCCAAAATCTTGTACCTAACAGGCCTCTGGATTGATACAATATTTTCTGATATCAATACAGACACTTTAATTTTGATGCCAATTTCTGAACCCTACTTTTCTGATACCTTCTTTTTAATTATAAACTGATACTCGATGTGGCTTCAACCAGAAATTAACGTGCTGGATGTTTACAGTGCAGTAACGAACCGCAGGGGTTAATAATATGCGTACAGAAAGCTAATCAGACAATCAGCCGTCTAGATTTCGGAACAAGCATGTCTATTGTCTTATACACGATAACTCTTGACTACTTCGGTACTGAAATTTGATACTGAAAGAGAAAATTATTTGATACTCTGTAGTACTGAAGTAATTCAGTCGAGCTCGCCATAAAAAGGGCGCGGTCACTTCTTTGGTTCGCGTCCTCGGATTCTTTAAACTTTGCTTTCGGACATTTCTTTCAAAACCTCTTCAAACACGGACGGTTTTGGATGAGTCTCTTCTAATCTTTGTACAAAATATCAGCCCAAATGTTTATGAGTCTCAGCAGCGCAAAATTATGACGAATGTTGAGTTGGATTGACGTAAAGCAGCGTGAATTCTGATCTGGCTGCTGAGACGATTTACATTAAGATATGCAGAACATATTTACAGCACAAACCTTGTCAGTGAAGTACGAGGGCAAAAAAAACAAACAAACAAAAAAAAAAACAAAATTATCGTTCATTAATCGTAATCGAGGTAAAATATTCAATTAATCGTGAAATTGATTTGAGGTCATATCGCCCAGCACTACAATGTAATAAGCCTTCAAAACAAACACTGTTAAAAAAATTAGGAAAGCTTAACCGACTTGCTGGGAGTTTTGTCTGAGAGCAGTCACTTTATGTGAGTATCTGACGTTTACATATTCTAGCATATCCTTCTAGCGGTTTCTCAGACTGAACAGTGCGATATAAACTCTAATAAATGTCCCATACCTTCATGATCATATCATGTATCTGCAGGCCTCCTCTGTCTGCTGGTCCATTTTCCACTATCTTGGACACATAAATCCCATCACTCAAATCTCTGCTGACTTCAGATCCCTTTGAAAACAGAGACATACATTTTGAAGTTTTGGCAACAATGATTTAATTTGCATATGAACAATAAAAATGTTTTTTATATAGAAATTCTGAGCTGGAAATTTACACTCAAATAAAAACAAACATCATAAATCCATTAACTGAACTAAAATCGCTGAATGCAATGGGACGTTTTGGACTTCGTACAGATTGGCATGTTGTACGGCTGCTCACTAGACACCCTGTCCTGTAATGCTGCTCCAGTGGATCTGAGATGAGTGGAGTGTGCTGGTCCTGAGCCTGCAGCCCCCGCCAGGGGACCAATCCTATTCCAATGAGAGAGACGGGGCCAAACGAGGGCTTTTCACCGCCAAGCCCACAGCTCGCTATCCAACCACATCAAACCCTTTTTTTTTTGCTTGGACTCAATCTATGAGAGGAATTAATGGGTTCTGCGCTTGCTTTTCACACCGTTTACCGACGAGAAAGGCATGGAAATCACAGTGTGAGGGCTGTAATTATCTTGTTTAAGCCTGGCTTGGTTACCAGTCGTATTTTTTTCACCTCTCCCACCACAGGGCTGTTGAGGTAGAGTCGAGATGGTGGTGTGAGCGTTTCAGCGTCTAAAATATCAAAGGATGCATTCACTGCATTTTAAATTCAATGTTTTCTTTCTAAACCCAATAACTGACCATTAATAATAAGAGTTTGATGTGAAATTCCAGTGGGATGCTTTGTGTTAGAAATTGAGACTACAAAGAATTCAAAGAAATTAAAGCACGTTAACATGCTTAAATTGCTTTTGGCCAATTGTCTTCAAAGCATTTTGAAGAGGCTGGGAAGCAGAGGTATGCTTGGCTGGCCTTCGACGTATGAGCAGCAATCTGAGAAGACATAATGGGAAGCTGCTTGTATCTTGGGGGAAGCACATGCTTGCTTTCACAGCACCTAGGTGGTGCTGTACATCATGGAAGATTCAGACAGTGTGTGGGTACTGGCGACATTTAGCATAAAGGAGATCACTGGGAAAAACCCCAAAATAAAAAAACATACAGGACCATCTGCAGCCCATCTACTGCAGCTGTGCCCTTCCAGCAGAGTCATGCATAACTCTGCTCTAAGCCCCCTTTGTGCAAAGGCAACGGCAGAATTATGTGATTACGTTAAGTGAAGTTCGTGCAGCCTGAATGAGTTATGCACTTACGAATTACGAACGCAGGCCTACCTCACATGATCTTCCACCGATGATGTTGAAGCCAAGTGACCCAGAGGCTCTGTAGAGAGTGACAGTCAGCCTCCTTGTCTCTTCTCCCTGGGAAAGTGTGACAGAGAGAGAGAGAGAGAGAGAGAGAGAGTGCTGTATTTATTTTAGGCCTTGCTACAATAACATAGGTGAAACATATTAAGCTGTTAAGTCCTGCTAAACATCTTCCCCCTGCAAAGGCCAGGCTTTCTCCATTAACTAGCTGGTCACTTACACCGATCAGGCCTAACATTATGACCACCTCCTTGTTTCTACGCTCATTGTCCATTTTATCAGCTCCACTTACTATATAGGTGCACTTTGTAGTTCTACAGTTACAGACTGTAGTCCATCTGTTTCTCTGATACTTTGTTAGCCCCCTTTTACCCTGTTCTTCAGTGGTCAGGACCCCCATGGACCCTCACAGAGCAGGTACTGTTTGGGTGGTGGATCATTCTCAGCACTGCAGTAACACTGACATGGTGGTGGTGTGTTAGTGTGTGCTGTGCTGGTACGAGTGGATTAGACACAGCAGTGCTGCTGGAGTTTTTAAACACTGTGTCCACTCACTGTCCACTCTATTAGACACTCCTACCTTGTCAGTCCACCTTGTAGATGTGAAGTCAGAGATGATAGCTCATCTGCTGCTGCACAGTTTGTGTTGGTCATCCTCTAGTCCGTCACCAGTGGTCACAGGACGCTGTTGGCTGGATATTTTTGGTTGGTGGACTATTCTCAGTCCAGCAGTGACACTGAGGTGTTTAAAAACTCAAGCAGCACTGCTGTGTCTGATCCACTCGTACCAGCGCAACACACACTAACACACCACCACCACGTCAGTGTTGCTGCAGTGCTGAGAATGATCCACCACCCAAATAGTACCTGCTCTGTGAGGGTCCATGGGGGTCCTGACCACTGAAGAACAGGGTAAAAAGGGGCTAACATGTTTAGAGGGCAGCACTGTGTAATGATTGTTTATTTGAGCTCAAGCTCGTCAATTGGGAGCTATCAAGCAGCTCGACAGCTAGGAAGCAAGACAAGATGCCTATAATGAGCAAAAAAAGATTAGATTGTTAATAACATATATTTACACAGCCGTTAATCATCAGCTACAATTTCACGATCACTACTGCCCTAATTCATTGTATCGCATAGACTTTATGATGGTTGTAGAAGGTGGCTTGTCTGTGACTGTGGTGCAATTGCAGTGACTGTTTGTGAAGCAGGACAGAGGGTGACATTATCATTGTGACATTCATTTACTGTCGTTTCATTACACGCTGACTGACTGTGGTACATCGAGCTATGAGAAAAAGGGCAAGTAAGGACACAACCATCACATTTGCTTTGTACGTGTCAGTCATAAGCCTTAGCTATGCTCACAGCTATTGCGTGTGAAGCAGGACAGTGGAGTGACATTATCAGCTGTGATACATTCACTCGCTCTCCTTTGTTGCCAAGGTTTATCAGGCACTCGGTTTGACAAATATGCATCAATAGGCCTAAGCGTATTGTGTTTCAGTGAATTCCATAGGTCTCATCTCCACTTGACTTCCCCAGCCCCATGTGACTGACACCTAAATGGCAAAGCAGACTTCACCCAACCTGCTCTCCCTCAACCCTGTCAGCGGCTGGATCTGATCAGCAGCGAAGAACAAGATTTGACAGGGTGGAAAACTGATAAAGCCTGCGACTCCTCACCTCGGTAAGGGTATCACACATCTCGAGCAGAGGACGTTACGCATCACAAATTCACAGCTATGGCATGCATGTGGAAACAGCTGCAGGGAGAAGTTTGTCACGTTGAGTCAGGAAAGTGTCATGAGTTCTTGATTAGCGCAGCAGGCATGACTCAACTGCAGGAGCCACAGACATAAGAGCTGGCTTTAGTTCCACTTGGAGGCGTGGCCCCTTCATCTGGGAGACACAAGTGCTTTCATTTTCATTAGACCTGTGGTTCTGCCTCTTAGTGGTTCTATGGATCCACAACCCCATTTCCAAAAAAGTTTACATGCAGTGCAAAATGTAAATAAAAACAAAATTCTATGATGTGCAAATCATTTAAACCCTACATTTCATCGAAAATAGACCAAAGACAACAAGTCAAACGTTGAAACTGAGAAGTTTTTTTGTTTTTTGAAAGATATATGCCCATTTTGAATGTGATGCCAACAACAACCCTATACCATCATGAATACTGACTTTTGAACTGTGCGCTGATAACAAGCTGAGTGGTCTTTAGCCCGGAGGACACAGTGTCCATGATTTCCAAAAAGAATTTCAAATGTTGATTTGTCGGACCACAGGACACTTTTCCACTTCCTCTCAAATAAGCTTGGGCCCAGAGAAGGTGGCAGCATTTCTGGATCCTGTTTATATATGATTTCTTCTTTACGTTTTAGTTTTAACTTGCATTTGTGGATGCAGTGATGAACTGTTTTCACAGACAGTGGTTTTCAGAAGTGTTTCTGAGCCCATGCAGTGATTTCCACTACAGAATTATGTCTGTTTTTAATGCAGTGCCGCCTGAGGGCCCAAAGATCACGGCCAGCAAATACTGGTTTTTGGCCTTGTCCCTCACATACAGAGATTTCTACCGATTCTCTGAATCTTTTAATGTTATTATGTACTGTAGATGATGAAAAGCTAAAGTTCTTTGCTATTTTACATTGATAAACGTTATTCTTGAACTGTTGCACTATTTGATGGTGCAGTCTTTCACAGAGTGGTGACCCCTCCTCATCTTTACTTCTGAAAGACTCCGCCTCTCTGAGATGCTCTCATGTCACTGACCTGTTGCCAATCAACCACCAGGGGTTTTATTAGCATTACACAACTTTACCAGCCTTTTGTTGCCTCCGTCCCAACGTTTTTGGAAAGTGTTGTTGGCATCAAATTCAAAATGGGCAAATATTTTTCAAAAAACAATAAATGTTGAAACCGAGAAATTTTGATAAGTTGTCTTTGAAGCATTTTCAATGAAATACAGGGTTTAACTAATTTGCACATCATTGCATTTTGTTTTTTATTCACATTTTTCACAGCATCGCAACTTTTTTGGAAATGGGGTTGTACTATAGATGTACTCAGTGTGCCAGGCAGGAGATTCCTTTCATAAGACAGATGAGTGTGAAACCACAGACAAACTTTTTCATAACTTGAAACTACTGGGAGATGTTCTAGTTTTTGTCACATTGCGTCTATTCTCGACCCACTCCCCCAGCTTAGGAACGCCTGGCATTTCAGTAGAAATGAACCTAAAGTGACAACTCTGACATTAGGCAAACATGTAGCCTCCGAGCATCATCTTTCTCATCTTATTTTCTACACGGAGGAAAAGCTGAGCTCAGGCATTTGTCCTGTCTGAACGCTGTCGGAAGAAAACCTCGTATCTCCATTTTTGACTTTTTTTGACATAATTTAAAAATACATGTTACCCTTTACATTGTATGTAAATTTCATGATGAATGGACTAAAACAAATGACCCAAAATCACCTGGAGAAAGGTCTGGTTCCACTGACTTACATTAAAAGTAAAGTATGTTTTTTCCTTCTCCTATAAAGTTATTACACTGGAGATACGAGGTTTTCTTCCAACAACAGCGCTATGCTCATGCTACGGGGGATTCAATGGTGAAATAATGCAGGCAAATCTGAAGCAATATTTCCTACATTTTAAAGAGCATAGCCTATATTTATCCTATCGCTGTCGTCGGAAGAAAACCTTGTATCTCCAAAATGGTAACTTTACAGGAGAAGGAAAAAACCTACTTTACTTTTAATGTAAGTCAATGGAACCAGACTTTTTGCCAGCTCATTTTGGGTCGTTTCTTTGGGCCCATTCTTCATGAAATTTACAGACAATGTGAAGGACCACAGACGTTTTCAAATTACATCAAAAACTGAGAAACAAAAAAAATGGAGATACAAGGCTGTCTGACGAAAGCAGCGATATATTTACAGCAAATACTAAAGTCTGATATATACAGAGTCTAAAATCACACTCTACTAAAAGTATTGTTAAACAACTTCAGTAGAAGTAAAAAGCATCAGGTAAAAACGCCTCATGTATCGTCTCTCCTAGAGAACTGCAGGCGAACCTCTTACTACATCCAGCATTTATTAGCTTAGGATTACTGAGCACTGTTCTCCTTTAGTCTGAAATAAAATGATCATAAGTTTAAAAGTGAGAGGTGTGATAAACAGCAAAGTGGTTCAGCTGTCCAACTGCACAATAATGTTTCCCTTTAATTACCTAGACTGTGGCGGCCCACCACAGTCTAATTTGTCCCACCAGCTTCATAATGAACTGAAAATGTCTTTAATAACAAACAACATTGTATTTTGACCTGTTGCTTTGGCAAAACATCTCTTACTACCAGACAGCCTCTCTGCATACTTTGTTAGCCCCCTTTTACCCTGTTCTTCAGTGGTCAGGACCCCCATGGACCCTCACAGAGCAGGTACTATTTGGGTGGTGGGTCATTCTCAGCACTGCAGTAACACTGACGTGGTGGTGGTGTGTTAGTGTGTGTTGTGCTGGTACGAGTGGATCAGACACAGCAGTGCTGCTGGAGTTTTTAAACACTGTGTCCACTCACTGTCCACTCTATTAGACACTCCTACCTTGTCAGTCCACCTTGTAGATGTAAAGTCAGAGACGATAGCTCATCTGCTGCTGCACAGTTTGTGTTGGTCATCCTCTAGCCCTTCATCAGTGGTCACAGGACACTGCCCACAGGACGCTGTTGGCTGGACATTTTTGGTTCTCAGTCCAGCAGTGACACTGAGGTGTTTAAAAACTCCAGCAGCACTGCTGTGTCTGATCCACTCAGACCAGCACAACACACACTAACACACCACCACCACGTCAGTGTTACTGCAGTGCTGAGAATGATCCACCACCCAAATAGTACCTGCTCTGTGAGGGTCCATGGGGGTCCTGACCACTGAAGAACAGGGTAACAAAGTATGCAGAGAAACTGATGGACTACAGTCTGTAACTGTAGAACTATAGAGTGAAACTATATGGTCAGTGGAGCTGATAAAATGGACAAAGATTGTAGAAACAAGGAGGTGGTCTTAATGAAGTGGCTGGTCAGTGTATATATAAATCAGTTGGTTTTAGAAACCAAAATCAAAATGGGCTGTTTTTACTGCTAAGTTTCCATGTATGGAACGTGTGAACTGGGTAGTAAACAGGACATTCTGAAACTTTAAAAACAAACATTTACATGCCCTCAATAATCCGATCATAATCAGATTTCTGCAGTTATCCGATTATTCAAATGGTCGTGTAAACACCACACTCCAATCTAGAAATCAGATTAAGAAATCTGATAAAGAGAGCTGGATTTTAGCTCAGTAATCAGATTTCTCAATGCATATAAACTTTTACTCGAATTTCTATAGAATTTCTCAGCCTGCGCATGCATGAGAACAGAGTGCTGTGCCGGAAATTACCGCAAGACGCAGCAAAACACTTTTGGAGTGACCCTGAAACCAAACTACATTCTGAACGAAATGAAGGATTTAAATATTCTTCATCTTCTACATGACATATGTTCATATTTTCAGGTAAAGCAGCTCAATGTTTTTTCATAAAAGCCGCAGCATGAAGTTTGCATTTTACATTACGTTTATGTCGCGTCTTCTTCTGTGAGTTTATTGACTGGTTGCAAAGCAGAAATCTGATTACTGCCTGAATCATGTAGACCTGGAGTTTCCCCATTATCTGATTACTCAAGTGCATGTAAACTTTTTGATCGGATTACTGACAGAATCTGATTTTCTGCAGTTATCAGATTATTAAGTGCATGTAAACACACTCAATGGCTGTGTTTACATGCAACGATTTTTGCCAATCCGACTGAATACAATCTGATTACAGATTTAGACTGAGGTGTTTATATGCACTCTATTCAACAATCTGATGGAAAATCTTCGTTTACATGCTCACTACAAGTAATCCGATGCAAAATGACGCGCATGCGTGGAGTAGCGCTTAGAGTAAACGTTACCATGACAGCGAACATCACGTGAGGTCCAGACCAGTTTCTGCTCCGCCATGTTGAGCGGTGTAAACTTTCGCCGTGACGCGACGCACATGCGCAGAACATACTTACACGTTCCGATCGGAATGTAATCGGATTCAGGCGTTTACATGGCTATTATTCTTCTATTTAACGGATTATTTAGAAGTTTACCCACCTCGTTTAATCGGATAGAAATTGTATTCCGAATGGCCTCAATCGGATTAGACTATTCCGATTGAGGTGTTTACATGGACGTATTCTATTCCGATTGAGCTATTAGTCGGATTATTAACGGATTATCAGGCTGCATGTAAACGTGGCTAATGTTTCATCATTACCATCAGTCCCTAGCTAGCGTCTGGATGAGGGCGATCTCGTACCCTGTACGCTGCTGTGGGTGCTGCAGGTGCTCATCTAACAATGTTTACCTTATTAAACTCATTTATTTAGAAAAGTGAAAATAATTTTGAATTTTGTCATTTGGTCCCCTCAGCACATTTTGAAGTGTGGCAGAAATGTCTAAATACTTTGGGGCTGCTGTATATTGAGTATGAGTAGAAACAAGAGGAAATCCAAATCCATTAAACTCGTCCTTGTACGTGTGGGACAGAGTGAATGAGCTAAGGAGAGGAGGCACTCAGAGTCAGGAGAGCAGGCAGTTACAACCATTTCTTAAAGGGGAATTCCACCGAATTTTCAAAATTTCTATATAATTCAGTGGTTGAGGTATTTGGTTTTATGTTTCCCTTTATGAACTGACTTTTTTTTTGGAAAACATTATTATTATTATTATTATTATTATTAATGATTTGTGAATAATTATGTGGGATATGGAGCTGTTGCTGACTCTGGAACGGATCCGGTGCAGACGCAACAAGTCAGGGCCGGATTCGTTCCAGAGAGAGCTGCTTATATCAACTTGAGCTTTAATCTGTTCTGAAATGGGTCCATGCCACATTTGGGCCAGATATGAAAATAATATTTAGACCTGCGCCAATTCAGGACCAGGTGCATCGCTGTTCTTTGCCATCTGGGCCAGTTATTTATCTGTTTCGGTGCAGATCCGTCACTGCAAAAAGGCCAGCTCTGCTTTGCGGATCCAGACCGGGCGCAGCGCTACATTTGGCCCTCATCAGGCACAGCGTACATTTGCTGTCTGGGAAGTCATTCATATTGTTTGATGTAAAACGGTTTCGTTTGAAGAGAAACTTCCCAACTCAGATTTTCTTTAGAGTGGTGGTGACAGGAACCAGGGGTCCAAATGTCTACAATGCAAATATAGCCATTATATTTACTCTCCGAAAACACCAGTGAACCTTCTGAGTTTATGTAATGTTGATGATGGTAAAATAATGGTCAATGAGAAAAATTAAGTTTTATTTGGGGACTATTTTGCCTTAGAACACCCTCATGTATCCGTCCATGATGAATGGATTAAAATACATTTTTGGACCAAAACTTTATCACAAAACTACCGTAAAACAACGTCTCAAATCTCAGTGTCTCATTGACATCAGGCACCGCGTTCACAACCATGTCAATAACTTTCTGACAGGGAGCGTTTAGAGGAGTTGAACTCCTCAGACGTCTGGTTCCTATCACCACCACTGTGAACAATTCTTTCTTAGTTAGCAGGGAAGTTTTCAAGAACAAAGCACTTCACACCAAACCACTCCGACTGACTTTACTGACGTTAAACATGTAATGATGCAGAAAATTCTGAAAAGTTGGTGGAGTTCCCCCTTTGTTTTTTTAAACCTGTGTCCTAAATACCTCATTAACAGCCTTTCTCACCTTGTTCAAAGAGCTCCTCGCCCTGAGCTCCTCAAACTTTCCTCGCGCCGTCGTGTGAAGCTCGCGGTGGAGATGCGCGAGCTGCAGCCGCTTCTGGCGGGCGCTCGCGCTCTCGGCTCGCCGCCTCGCCTCTCTCTCTCTCTCTCCTCGCGGCGCGCCGCCGTGCGTCCTCACGGCCTCGACGCAGGAGCGCTTCTCCGGCTTCTCTCTGCCGTGACCCGTTACCCCGCGCTCGCGTTCACGCTCCTCCGCGGGCGCGCGCTCGTCAGAGAGGTGCCGAGGCTTCGGCGCTCCGTCGCGGTCGCGGCGCTTGACGGCCAGTTTGAGGACGAGGTTTTTCAGCGCGAGGACGCGGTTCAGCTCGTCGGCGGAGATCCGGCGGCACCTCAGAGGACAGCTGCTCCGCTCAGAGACCCACGGAGTCACGCAGCCGGCGCAGAACACGTGTCCGCACGGAGTGGTGAGCGGCTCCTCCAAAACTTTGCCGCACAGTTTGCAGAGAAAGTCCGGGTCTACGGGGCTTTCGAAGCGGTCCAGTTCAAAACCCATTTCCTTCAGCCGCTCGCTCAGAACCGGACACGGAGGGAGACGCGCGCTGCTCCTCAGCGGACTGTCCGAGCTCGTTCATCAGTCAGACGTTCCTCGCCGCGGTCAACATCAGCAGTGGGGCTGAGCTACCGTCACATTCAAACAGCTGAGCAGGGGGGCGGGGCGGGGCGGAGCGGGGGGCGGTGTGATGTAGGACCCTAGGGCCGTCTTAACGCTGTGGACCAGGGGTAACCTACGGAGCCCTGCCGGTGACATCCTGTATAAATAAAAATAATGCGTGGCCACAACTTAGTAAGGCGTGGGAACAAGATAATTAAGTCGTGGCCACGACTTAGTAAGGCATGGGAACAAGATCCTAACGCATGGCCACGACTTAGTAAGGCATGATCTCGGGTCCACGCCTTACTTAGTTGTGGCGGCAACTTAATCATCTCATTGCCATGCCTTACTGTACGGAGCCCTATGGAGCCCTGATGATGACATCCTGTATAAATAAAAATAATGCATGGCCACGCCTTAATAATGCATGGGAACGAGATCCTAATGCCAAGACTTAGTAACACGTGGGAATGGGATGATTAAGTTGTGGCCATGACTTAGTAAGGCATGGGAATGAGATCATGGCTTACTAAGTCGTGGCTACGCATTAGGATCTCGTTCCCATGCTTTACTAAGTCGTGGCCATGACTTAATCATCTCATTCCCACGCCTTACTAAGTCGTGGGAATGCATTATTTTTATTTATACAGGATGTCACCAGCGGGGCTTCCTCATATGTGAAGACAACACTGCCACTCATTTACAGCCACAATAAAATCAACCAAAAAGCCATCAACACCTGTAGAGAACGAGAGAAATAAGCCAACAAGAACGCTGAATTTGCCTCACAGCAGTAAGAAGCTGCAGTTATACATCATTTAAACCTTTTCAACTCCCTGAGACCACCGGTGGTTCCAAAACGCACTTCGTCATATTCTTCATAACTTTCATATTTCATAATCTACATTCTAAAGGTTGGGGTCGTATGAGGCTGTAACTGTCTTCTGTCCAGTCAAATAGATGGGTGATGTAATTTTAAACCCTTATAATAAAAGAAGCTGAACTCTTTCTTTTTCTACTGAAAGTCGACCCATTTTTCCATAAAACTGGACTATAAACTACGGAGCCCTGCTGGTGACAACCTATATAAATAAAAATGATGCATGGCCACGCCTTCTTAATGCGTGGGAACGAGATCCTAATGCATTGCCACGACTTAGTAAGGCGTGTGAATGAGACGATTAAGTCGTGGCCATGACATAGTATCCCGCGTGTTACTAAGTCATGGCTACGACTAAATCATCTCATTCCCATGGCTTACTAAGTCGTGGCCACGCGTTATTTTTATTTGTACAGGATGTCACCAGCAGGGCTCCGTAATAAACTATAAACAGATGGCGTCTCTTCAGTGATCTGCTCTGTAAAAATGATAAAAAATTACAAATAGCGTTTTTAGCTTTCAGCAGTAAATTGTAAGCGTATAGCAATAAGTGTGTGATCATAAAACACATGTTCCGTTCATTTGAGGGGAACTTTTACAAAAAATAAAAATAAATAAATAAAATAAAATATGCATTTATACCTGTCCAGGGTGTATCCTGCCTTCTGCCCAATGACAGCTGGGATAGGCTCCAGCACCCCACCGCAACCCAGAAGGATAAGCGGTTTAGATGATGTATGTATGTATGTACATTTATTTAATCAGTTACTGAATAATTTGCCTCACGATTTGGTCATGTAAATTCAGATGGAAAAACCAAAATATACCTTGGTCAATAAGAGGTTAAGGGGCACAGTTAATGAAGACGGTGCTTGAAATTACATATTATAATAAATTGATGTCATACAATTTCAAACAACAATAAAAATAAAGAGAATTCATCCACTTCTCTCACCAATGTGCTTTATTTGCAACCCAAAAGTTTCCTTTTATTTCTACACAGTAATGTAGAAATGCAGATCACTCAAGATGAATGTTAATACCGGGTCTGAACAGAGCCACAGTGTATGTCCGGTTTCATGCATTTATTGAGTTTCTGTGGATTGGAGGGTTGAAGGGGGTTTTGGGAGTTGATGCCAGGTCAGAATCTGGCAAAAGATGTGATTTCATGCCTAAGCTGAGCAGCAGTGGGCCTACATTGGCTATGACAGGCCTGTGAGTATTATGCAACCCATCATACGCTTGAAGGCCTGTTAAAAGTGCAAATTTGTCCAAACACACAGGGCTCAAACTGAGCTATACATAGGTTTGAAGAAGCTTCAGGAAGAAAGCAGGCCTGTATTCTGTATCTGAAGAAGTAAAACAGTATTGCTATGACTTAGTGCAGCCTAAAACCACAGTAAAGGTTCGTTTAAAGAGAATAACGGCCTATAAGAAGACTTAAATCTGTAAGAACAGGCATGGCTAGAGCTTTTGGAATGGGGTGGCCTGGGAAGCCTCAGAGATTTTATTGAGGTGGCTAAATAAAATAGAGTTACTTTATTAAAATGGCATGAAAAGTACAGCATTGTTTTTACTCTGTGCATAACTAAATCTGTCCGTCATTTCCACATGAATAAAATAGCGTATCAACACTGAAAGTGAACTGAAAGACAATACTGTGTTGATGAAACATATCGCTGCTATCAGAGGAAAACCTTGTATCTCCATTTTTGACGTTTTTCAGTTTCTGACATAATTTGAAAATACCTGTGACCCTTTACATTGTATGTAAATTTTATGATGAATGGACCAAAAGAAATGACCCAAATTGACTTGGAAAAAATTCTGGTTCCATTGACTTACATTAAAAGTAAAGCATGTTTTTTCCTTCTCCTGTAAAGTTACCATTTTGGAGATACGAGGTTTTCTTCCGACAACAGCGATGTTTTATTAATTCATGAGGAAATGGTGTAATTTAAATTAAATTAAGATTAAGTGACCCTTATTAGTCCCACAACGTGGAAATTTCACCTCCGCATTTTTCCCATCCGTGCAGTGACACACCACTTCTACCAGAAAGGCTCCAGAGAGGAACGTGAAGGAAGGAGAAGAGTTTAATCTTAATAATATTTAACAATTCCATATAACAATTTTTGTGAGTTAAAGTCCTTAGCGGGCCCCGTCGTCGACCCAGGTCTTCAAACGTGTAGAGCCTCACAGATCCTGCCGTGTAGGGACGGCAGGGAGCGGAGCCTACCCCCTGCACGGGGACCAACTGGTGGCGGCAGGGAGGAAGGAGGGGAACGATGAAACGTCAACATCTGAAAGCAGCAAAGCAGGTGTGTGAGTCGAGTCATTTTAAAGACAGGTGGAAGCTTGTGATTGGTCAGAGTAATGAGTGATGTAGCATTAGAGTCTCCCTGGCAGAACTTGCTCTACAGCTTTCATATACACACTAGTGTACACACAGTGAGCACACCTGCCCGGAGTGGTGGGCAGCCCTATCCACAGCGCCCGGGGAGCAGTTGGGGGTTAGGTGTCTTGCTCAAAGGCACCTCAGTCATGTACTGTTGGCTCAGGGGATCCAACAAGCGACCTTCTGGTCACAGTGGCTGCTTCACTAACCTCCAGCCCACAACTGCCCCAAATTTAATCACTTTTCCAGCACAGAACATCAAGAGAAATATTTCCTGTAGACAGACCCTAACAGTTATTAACCCTTAAATGGCCAGGACCCACCAGCAGGCCCAAAGCTCAATTACGCACTTCTATAACCTAAGAATAGCTCAACCAGTTTGCACTGAAATTCCTGTAGGTACTGAATAATAATCTTTAGTATGTAATAAGCCTGGGATTTAAAGGGGTTTGTTAATTCCACTACATGTTGTAATGATAAGAAGGCTAACCACACAGCACTGTATAAGGTAACCTACAACACATGCATGCATTCAACTGTAAAAAGGAAATAATTAGCACTCCACAACTGGGGTGGCCAGAAGGGTGGCCATACTTTATTCTAGGAGGGCCCTGGCCACTCCGGCCACCCTTTGGCTACACCGCTGTATAAGAATGAAGAGTGAATATAATGCTTTTTCATTTGAATGTGACTTGTGTTCAGTTTGCTTTTTCAAAAAATGGTCTTTTTTTGCAACCCCATTTCCAAAAAAGTTGGGACGCTGTGCAGAATGTATGCCAAAATAGAATGCAATGATCTGCAAATCATGTAAACCACATCTTTAAAGGAAAATACTACAAAGACAACATGTCAAATGTTGAAACTGAGAAATTGTATTGTTTTTTGAAGAATATATGCCCATTTTAAATTTGATGCCAACAACACATTCCAAAAAAGTTGGGACGGGGTTTGTTTACCACTGTGTTTCATCACCTCTTCTTTAACACTCTGTAAGTGTTTGGGAACTGAGGAGACACTGCTGTGGTTTTGAAAGAGAAATGTTTTCCTGTTCTTGTTTGATACAGGATTTCAGCTGCTCAGCAGTTCAGAGTCTCATTTGCCATATTTTTCATTCTTAATGTGCCAAATGTTTTCAGTGGTGACAGATCTGGACTGCAGGCAGGGCAGTTTAGCACCCGGACTCTTTTAATACAGAGCAATTCTGTTTTAATACATGCAGAATGAGGTTTGACATCGTCTTGCTAAAATAATCAAGGCCTTCCCTAAAAAAGACGTCGTCTGGATGGCAGCATATGTTGCCAAAACATGTATATATCGTTCAGCATTAATGGTGCCTTCACAGATGTGCACGTCACCCAATACCCCCCTAAACCATCATGAATACTGGCTTTTGAACTGTGTACTGATAACAAGCTGAGTGGTCTGTAGCCCGGAGGACACAGTGTCCATGATTTCCAAAAAGAATTTCAAATATATTTGTGATGTCAACCAGTCAAACAGTTGAATGAGACCAGGTATATGCAGAGAGAAGAACAAAGAAAGGATAATAGTGAGTTGTTATTGTCCAAAATGGTTACATTGGGGTGGCACAAAGCCGTTTGTCAGCCTTGTTGACTTTAGGTC